CCCATCTATAAAAATAATAATAACATGAAAAAGTTAATCATATTTCAAGGTATTAACTATTCTTATTTCAAGGCAATGACCATACTTTATCAATGAGAAAACAGAATCTTAGAAAATTAAATAGTCTTTTGTAGGTTATGAAGCAAATCATTGGTAGAGATGGGATTTGATTCCAAGCCTGCCTTATTTACCGTAGTCTTGCACGCATCTACTCATTCAGAAGAGCCAAACTGCTTGAATTACGTTCATGTAACCATGGGAAAAACATTTAAGGTTGAGGCACAAAATTTCCTTTTCCCTTATATTAAGGGGCTAGGACTAAATATCGAGGTTCTGTGTCTTTGTAAACACTGACATTAATAAGACACCACCTGTGATAGCCACCAGTTTTGGTTGGTGATAGAATCATGTTGGTAAATCTTTATTATTTTTCTCATTTTTCAGAATGATGTAGGGGGACAACGCAGCCTGATAAACAAATGGACGACTTTTCTTAAGGCCAGATTGATTTGCTCAATTCCTGGAAGTGATGGGGCAGATACTTATTTTGATGAGCTTCGTAAGTCACATGTTCCTTCTTTCTTGGAAAAGTCTTAATGCCTAATTAAGTAATTCTGCATGAATTTTATTTTAGCACCAAATGCCTGATTATAGATAGCCCAGCACATAGGACTGTAGGAGTGGTTCTTAGTAAAATTTGCACACACAAAGCACAAGAAGGTGCTCTAGGTCTGGGCATACATTGTAACGAAGTAACTCCTCTCTTTGTAATTGTTCTCAAAGTAAGTGAAGGAAACAAAACTACAGCAAGAGACAGAAAGACAGGAGCTCTGGGACTACAAAATTCATGTATTCTCCTGCAGTCTTTCATTTTCGTAGGAAGCACCTTCTGTAGGTAGAAAGAACTTGGGTTCTTTATTCTGCGATGCCCTCTGCTGGAGAATACGGGAGATGTGGTGAACTCTGAACCTCTAACTTGTTAAGGAAAAGCATACTCAGAGAAGCAATAAACAGATTCTTCCATTTCATTTATCTTTTTCGCTCCTCCAAAAGCTCCTCCCAAGTTAAAGAAAGTATTTTTTGGTTGTATATAAAGTTAGCGTCATTAACTTTTATCTTCTTGAACTTGCTTTTGGTTTTGCCATGTAATGTAAAAATGATTATCTCTATCATTGATGATGTCATCAGTATTATGCTTTACAGTATTAAAATATATATTCAGTATTTGTTCATGACCTCTCATGTTTTATATAATCACACTAACATATTAAATAATCTTTCAAAGAATATTATTTACACTTAATTTACTATCAATTCTGTACTAATTACAGATGTAACTATTTTCATATTGTTACCAATTGAATTATTAATAAATTGGCCCAATTACAGGACAGGACTTTTTACACTGGAAGGTAAAAATTATTACATATTTTTTCTGGTTTCTATTATATATAAAATCCAAAATTTGTAAATGGAAACAGCCATAGAGATTATCAATCAAATCATCCCATTTATAAGTGATTGGAGTAAATATCTAAGAGGTTAAATGCCCAACTCAGTGTCATATAGCTAGTGAGCAAAACCAATCTTTTACATTTAATTTCTTAAGGAATAATATAGTGACTCTGTTATCTTA